ATACCAAGCACTTGAAAAAGTTCGAAAATATGACAATTCCAAGATTCCACGTGAAAGAAGGGTATTATATAGTATAGTGAGGAATAAAGATATGCTTTTATACATAAGATGAGAACTTAAATAAGAAAGCACTTTCTTTGAGCGTGTGGGGGCAGTGAAAGTGAATCAACTAAAATTCAGTTTGGGACAAGTTTTTTCCTTACAGCTTTCGTAAGGGGGCATCCTAGAGTGAAAGGCCTGAAACAGTTTTTTTTTTTAGTTCGGATTTAAAAAAAAAGGAAACTATAGGTCGTACAGCAAAACAGAAACCATGGTTGATTAGGTACTACTTTAAGGTTCAATTTGCAATTTTAGTGGAGGTGAAACTCGCCCCAATGCGGAGGAAACCGCGGCAGTTCAAAACCCTATCCTGTGGAGTAATGGGACTCTCAGAGTGGCTTAAAATGATAACATCATCAAGATTTTACATATATGTAGGCGAACTACGAGGGGGAGCTGGAGACTGCTCTGGACGCAGCGCTGCAGAGCGGCTACCGGCACATTGATACGGCCACCATCCACAAGAACGAGCACACGATTGGCAAAGTGCTTAACAAGTGGTTCAAGGAAGGCAAGATCAAGCGCGAGGACTTGTTCGTCACCACGAAGGTAATAACTAGTTCACACACCTCTTACACTGTAAAATATATATAATCTAGAATTAACAGCAAATCTTAGTTGTTTTTTCACTGACTCCGTGTTGTTAGAACAATATCGATTGTTCAGTAACATCAAAAGCTGTTCAGGGACAGCAAAAGTTGTTAAAGAACGACGAAAGCTGCTCAGGCGAACAACAAAAGAATTGTCCATTTACAACAAATGTTGCTCAGCAGCAACGAAATTTGTTCAGGAACAATGAAAGTTTTTGAAGAACAGCAAAAGTTGTAGAATAACAGAAAAAGTTGTTTCGGAACAACAACGTTGCTGTTTTGCAACAAACATTGCTATTTTGAAACAAACATTGCTCAGTACGAGAGTTGTTTTTTAACCAATGTACAAATGTTTTCTTACAGTGTGCTCTCACGATGCAAAAGGGTTGTTTTTTAAAAATCAAAATCACACTGTAAACATTTTTCGGGATTTTACAAAAAAAAAAATGTTACGAAATGCTTCGTAAAAAATATTTTACGAAAATATTTCGAATGTGCCGATTTACGAAACATTTCGTAAAGTTACAATTCGTAACGAATGGAAAGTTTTTGGTCAAAAGTCCTAAAATTTGACAAAATAGACACAAATTGCACCCGCCTGATTTTGCCCGCAGCTCCCCGTGTACGGCATGCGGCCTGCTGATGTGCCCGTCTTCCTGAACCAGTCGTTGACCAAGCTGCAGCTAGACTACGTAGACCTGTACCTCATCCACATGCCCTTTGCTGTGAAGCGAGAGGCGCATGACAATGGTATCATAACTGAGGACAGCATCGACAAAACCACGGATCACCTCGCCATCTGGAAGGTACACCTCGAAAAACTCGTCACCCTAATAGAAAACGAAGGTCCTCCAGAGTCCCTGTTTTGAATTCCCCCCGTAGGTCCAAAATGGAACTTCAAAGGGATTTCAATACCAGTGAAATCCCGTTATAGTCCTTCACAAAAATTTGAGCGACAACTTTGGAACATAACATACTAGGGACAGAATAGGACCCTCGTTGGTCGGGTCTCGAAAAGCCCGGCTATAGGGTCGTGTCTCGCTAGGGTCGGGACGAAGGGTCGTATGTGCATTTCTTAACGATTTTGTGAGATGTATACCCTTGGAATTTTCTCCTGATTCCAATGATATACATATCGCAAAGTCACCAATAAAATGCACAATGCACATACGACCCTTGTCCCGGCCCTAGCGAGGCGCGACATATAGCTGGGCTCCTCGAGACCTTGGACCTTAGCCAGTTTCTGTGAGACCCGCACTTTTAATTTTCAAGGGTCGTTACAAACTTGTGCAAACGTTATACCAAAGCAAAAAATTATTTAAAAATGGCGTTAACGCTAACATGAAAGCAGGTTACTGAAACGCGTAGCGTTGAATTTTTACTCCAAACTCTCACGTACGATTCAGAACCAGTGACAACGATCGACAAACATGCGACACCATGCGGTATTGAACACGGTGGCGTTGAACGCGTCGGCGTTGAACGCGGCAGCTCTGTTGAAAAGGAGAGAGAAAGGGGGGGGGGAGTTTCCTTCTGGGAAGTTTTGATGACTGTTTAAAAACAAAATTATTGCATAAGAAAAGTTAAGGTATTCTTTGCATGCGCAGAGATGTACGCAGGCTGTTTTAAATAGGTCTGAAACCTGTACCCTTTTTAGGCAATGGAGGCCGAGCACTATGCGGGCCGCGCGAAGGCTCTGGGGGTCTCCAACTTCAACGAAACGCAGATCGAGCGATTACTCAAGCACGGCGCCATCCCACCAGCGAACCTGCAGATCGAACTGCACCTGTACCACCAGCAGCGCCCCGTCGTGGACTTCTGCAAGAAGAACGGCGTGTCTGTGACGGCCTACGCGCCACTCGGAAGCCCCAGCTATAGGTGGCTCTCGCCTATCTCCGGGTATGGAAGCAAGCACTTCAGGTGTGCGGTAAGGTGGGCCGACAATCTGGGACAGAAAAATTCGACATGGAATGGAATAATGTATTTCGAGATCAGATGAGCTGCAAAGTTTATTCGGGCCGATTGACAGCCCTTGTAGTCTCCAGAAGGGGTGAGACGAAAAATACGTGATTTTGTTTAAAAAACTTTCCGTTTTGCGAAATAAATCTGACAAGAATAAGCCGAAGATGATATCACACAACGTCGCGCCAGCTAGGGCATCTTCCCTGATGTATTTATTTATGGCCGATCTTGGGTCTTGCTCGGAGGGTTCTCTGACGCTGGGGGACGTAGAGGGTCGTTTTCGCCCTAAGGACAGACCTTTGACCCCTTCTGCGGGTTACAAAGGATGTCAATCAGCCAAAATGGACATGCAGCTAATCGTAAGATATCTCGATGTACTTCATTCCATATCGACTTTTTCCGTCCTTGATTGTCGGCTGACCTTAGTGTGTGGTGTGCGGCCATGATAACCCGCTCCTTGTGATCCCCAATCGTTTTGCATGGAGCGAAGCGAAGTGCAATTATAAACTTCACTTTCGAAACAGCACGATCGTGAGACACATGTGACACATTATTAGTGCGTTTAAAAATAACCATAATGTGTCACATGTGCCAAACAGTAACGTTGACTGGCGGACCACATCGGGGACACAGGCCGGTCAGCTCAGCTACTGTTCGGTGTCTCTCCTCGACTCCCTCCTGTGTTCACTCTGGCCTTGGGGCGTGTAAAGTTAAGCTCACGTGAGCTCACGCGTGAGTGAGTCCGGAAACTCCGCGCCCTGCAGCGGGGTATTTCCAGCCCTGTGCCCCGGAATCACCCAAATCAAACGGAGTATCGAAAAAGTAATGATCCCTAGGCTTCCCCCTTTCTTAAAATTTGTATGTTGCCGTGTTTAAGAACACGATCTAGCGAGCTCACGCGTGAGCTCACGTGAGCTTAACTTTACACACCCTTGGTCACAGCACCCGACTCTGAAGCGAGAAGTTCCGGGTTCGCTAATCGGACTGGCGGGCGCGCTGTGATGCGCTCGCCTGTTGCGTTTTGACTGATTTATTCTGCTGTGCACTGCACCGGTGCAGAGAGCTCCACAAAACAGTTAGGATAATCTTTCGGGGTAGCGGAAGGATATTATCAAGCGGACGCGTCGAATTACTCAAAAAACAGTAATTTACTAAAATTTACATAGGTTTTTTACATTGATCCAAAATTAATAATTCTAGAACCTTTAGCGAGCCTGTGCCTGCGTGTGACTGTTTGTCATTATTTACAGCAAGGAGCTACCAGACTTACTGGAGCTCACCGAGGTCAACAAAATCGCCACCAAACACAACAAGACAAGCGCGCAGATCCTTCTGCGGCACACGGTGCAAAGGGGCATCATTGTCATTCCCAAGAGCTTCAAGCCGGACCGCATCAGGCAGAACATTGACGTATGTGTGTGTGTGTGTGTGTGTGTGTGTGTGTGTGTGTGTGCGCGCGTCCAGTTCACTGATAAAACTTTTGTCGTTAATTTACGACACTTTTGCAAAGGGACTCGTGTACTAAAAATCCTTGCCGAGGACCAGTTATTCTACCAACTTACGATTTGTCCTTAGAAATTGTCTGAAGATACATATTTTCTTTATTGGTAGATAGAATTTGAACCCGGCGGTACACATATGCATTAAAAAAACTCTTTTTTTTTCGTTGAGGGCAGATTTTGGACTTTACTCTCGACGACAGTGAAATGGCCGAGCTTGATGCTCTCGACAAAGGATTGGACGGCAAACGCTTCGTTATGAAGCACATTGAAGGGTAGGTGATCAATTTCATTGGCACTAGAGCATTGTTTACAGCCTAAACAACTTATTTATGACCGTATTTTGGTTTGTGTGTCGTTTAGATTGTGGAAGCACCCGGAGTACCCCTGGACCGCCCTGTTGAACTCGACTGAAGAACGACCAAAATCCTCAAACTAACAACGGTCGGCTGTGTACATCATTTTACATAAGCACACTGTAAAACTTTAAAGTCGTTACTTAATGAAAAATTCACAACTAAATTTTGCTCGCTTGAAGGGTTTGTCATAAAGGGCGAGATACTCAGCGGGGCCAACTGTTAAGTCACTCGATGTGTCCATATTTTATATTTTCAAAAATATTTTCCTTCCAACTGGCTGAATCTTTAGACTAAGTGGTGTAAGGCACTACTGAAATTTTAGACTTGGGAGCAGTCTGAATTTTCAGACTACCCGTCTGTAAAAAAAAAAAAGAAAAACAACTTCAGTCTCAAAGTACTGAAAATTCAGTAATTTTTTTTTTTACAGTTCGTGTGATGCACATTGCACGAGCCAAAATAAGCCCTCAGCACTCAGGGCGATCCGAAAGAAGTCCGGTCGCAACCGGACAGCCCGAAGACTGACCGAAATAAGTCCGATGGGAACCGGACAGCTGGAAGACAGTCCGAGTCCGAGGGGCGACTATCATCTTGTGTCGACACGGCATGGTCGCGGGCTGTCCGAGCATGTTTTCTTGACTTTCATATTTCTTATAAAAAATAATTAATAATTGAATCCAAGCAGCTATACAGGGTGGGTGATCCACATCCGCGCCGTGTTTTTCTGCTTATACTGTACCGTATGCAGGCGTGCGGGCGGGCTTGCCTACCCTAGTAGCACAGAACTGTCGCCCGACTGTCGGCCATCAGTCGAAAAAGTGATACGGACTATCAGTGCGATATACGTAATAAGAAAAACGAACAACGAAAATCTTAACCCAAAGTCCTTAGTCCTTAATCCAAAACGATGGCTCCCTGCAAAAGCATACTTTCTGTACGATACGCGTCTAAAACATACGTTATGTACGATACGTGTCTAAAACATACTATCCGTTTTGAGCTTTTTTGGCAAGCATATTTTTGATAGCCCATTTACCAGATTTCCACGCAAAAATTTATTGTTTTGCTGGGTGGAATACAAAGAGGGAAGATCGAAATTTCACCTGATACCGAGAAATGAATGTTTAATAACTTTCTTCCATTCCCAAACGGCTGCCGAAAATATGCTACCGAAAACCGCCGAAAACGGATAGTAGGTTTTAGAGACGTACCGTATAGATCGTATGGTTTAGACGCGTACCGTGCAGAACGTATGCTTTAGCAAGGAGCCGTCGCAAAGACGACTGGGCAGCGCGCTTCAGACTGTGCCACAAACTCACAGGAAATGTGCACAGTGTGGTAAAGAACATCGAGTCTTCAAATCGTGCGAGAGAGGATTCTGAACACTTACATTTTAAAACCAAATTTTAAAATACGATCAATTCCTATTTAGTACTTGAAATTAGGCGCATTCAACAGTAACCATTACAACGACGATTTAATTCAAACACATTACGAAGCTTGTATTATACAAAAGATTATAAAGGAATGTAAACATTATTTTTGAGATTTAATAAAAGGATGTGGTACGAAGTTCACGGAAAAAAATTAATAGTTCTCCCAACTAAAGTTTAAGTTGATTCCCGGATAACGAAGAAATTTTGGCTCCAGCAACCAGTTTTTGATTGATTGTAACAACCAGCATTAGTCGAGGGAACGACGCCGTTGTTGGGAGAACAAACGCAATCCTTTCAAGGCAAGGTTTCGTTCTCCTATCAACTGCGTCGTTCCCTCGACTTAATGCTGGTTGTTACAATCAAAAACTGGTTGCTGGAGCCAAAATTTCTTCGTTATCCGGGAATCAACTTAAACTTTAGTTGGGAGAACTATTTTTTTTTCCCGTGTTCTTAGAAAATTATTAACGGTGGTGGGGACGGAGTCAGAAGAAAGTAGCGTCCCTGCTGAACCACCCCGCTAGCCTGAACTCGTCTCGACGGTGCAGGCCCTGATGGGACTGACACGATGCGTCGTGTTACCCGACGCGTCAGATATCCGTCTGATATGAAGACAATCCGACCAAAAAGGTCCAAAAATAGTCGTATCCGACCAAAACACCACACGTCGCATTTCGGTTAGACATGACAATAACATGACAGCATGACGAAAATGCGACGTCGTGTATGCGACAGATGTCCGACGTCAGACAACCGACCGGACGTCTCGACGCGTCCGGCGAACAAAGGCGAATCTGCGGAGCGCCCGGTAACAAAGGCGAATCTGCGGAGCGCCCGGTAACAAAGGCGAATCTGCGAAGCGCCCGGTAACAAAGGCG